CGCGCCTCCAAGATGCTCTGTGACAGCGTCTGCCACAATTTGTCACAAGCGTCCCAAGACGCGCGTCAGACGCGATTTTGCCGCAGAAAACGCGTTTGGTCTGAAGCTTGAAGCTCTCAAAAGCATCAAGATTAGGTCGTTACCTACTCCTGCTTTATAAAGTTGCCCTTTAAAAACATATTTTTTACTGTTTATTACTCTACATGGATGATGAGCCGTGTGCACCACACTGTGGCTTCAGAAGACCTTTTTTTAACTCTAAAGTTTGTTTTGCCTGTTTTTGGACATGTTACTGATTTCCCCCTGGTGAAAAGTTGATGCCCTTTTAAAAAAACATGCCTTTCCCACTGTTGCCCCATTCTGTGTTCCCTCAGCCCTCCGCTGCTCTGCGAACAGCCACTACTCCAGCTGTGTCCCGGCCTGCCCACCCCAGTGCGCCCCCGCCCGAGGCCAGCGGGACTGCACCCAGGAGTGTGTGGAGGGCTGCCAGTGCGACCAGGGATACGTGCTCAACGGCAAAAGCTGCATCCTGGCACAGAACTGCGGCTGCTACACTGATGGCAAGTACTTTGAGGTCAGTCTACACTACACCAGGAGAGAGATGAGTGTCAGACGAGGAAGTGCAGTGTACGTTCATATCATGGGGATAGTGTGTTCTTTACAAATGTATGTATTCATGTGGTTGAACACACTTACAGCATGAACTGATCCAATACATACAGAGTGTGCAGTTAATGCTATTTGTCAACTGCTGTCCCTGGCTGAGCTTTTCCCTTATTGCAACGCATTATAGAGAATGAAAAAAGACATGCATTACATTATATTGTGTTTGCTCCAATTGAACAATAATGATCCACAAATGCACAATAATGATCCACAAAAGTACAATAATGATCCACAAAAGCACAATAATGATCCACAAAAGCACAATAATGATCCACAAATGCACAATAATGATCCACAAAAGCACAATAATGATCCACAAATGCACAATAATGATCCACAAAAGCACAATAATGATCCACAAAAGAACAATAATGATCCACAAAAGCACAATAATGATCCACAAAAGCACAATAATGATCCACAAAAGAACAATAATGATCCACAAAAGAACAATAATGATCCACAAAAGCACAATAATGATCCACAAAAGCACAATAATGATCCACAAAAGCACAATAATGATCCACACATCATGTGGTACCTTTTCATAAACAATATACTTTGTTTCTCCGAGAGAGAGGGTCTTTCTACAAAAAAACAATCAGACCACAACCTGTTTTTCTTCGTCTTAATAGAAAACATTGTAGGTATTTTTCACTTTTCATTTCGAAAAAATTGTTCTAACAATGTCAATGAAAGTTGAAAGTGAGGTACCCTAGCTTTAAATTAAGCATTTACTGTATATACTGTAGTTACTTTACATTATGCAAAATATGTCAAAGTTATTGTTTCCTCGTCAGAACTATTTTGACCCAAGACTAAAACTTTATCAGAGAGGAGGCTGGTCTCACAATTTCTGAAAATCTTTAGTTGTAGGAATATTCTGGACGTGTGTTCGGCTAACTGTGTCCATTCTTTATATTTTCTTTTCGGCACATTAGTTTGTAGCTTCTGTGAAACTCAAACGGACTGACAAACTAAAATGTCACACAGTGATTTTACTCCAGTTTTTCAGTTAATCATAAACGTTTGCATTTTTTCCACACAAACGAGTAAAGCTCTCAGGGAATGATGCAGATGTCCTCTCTACGGTGACAATGTCAAACTTTCTCCTGAGTGTGAGTCCAGCGGTCATGCATGCACCTACCATCAGGAACTTCATTAGATGATAATGTGTGAGGTTCACAATACTCAGTTAATAACAAACTAGGGAACATTTGAAATGTTTGTTTCATTTTGATTCAACACGGCTTGTTTCTCTCGTTCACTGATTTTAATTTCTAACCAGACAAAAGTCCAAACAATACACACACACCAATATGAAATTCCCAGTTACACTGCATTTTCTGTCTAAATGTAGTGTCCAGAGCCACGGCATCATTATGATGGAAGTATATGGTGGATTAGTGTGGGTTGGACTTTAAGAACAAGCGGTGTGCTCTGTCCTCTTCACTTCACAGAGCACTAGCACCCTGAACGTTGACGAGCAGCCTTGTACCAGATGTATTATTTTTTTGAACCATAACAGGCTAAATAAAGTAAAGATAATCATACTTGTGTCATATGTTGCAGCCTAAGCAGCTGTTTTGGAACTGGGACTGCACCAAGCGCTGTCAGTGCATCGGCAGAAACTTGGTACAGTGCGACCCCCGGCGCTGTAAAGCTGAGGAGGAGTGCGTCCTGCGTCACGGGGTCCGGGGATGCTTCGCGCGGCGCTCCCAACACTGTGTGGCATCAGGTGGAGGCGTCTTCAGGACTTTCGACGGGGCCTCTCTGCGTCTACCTGCCTCCTGCTCCTTCGTCCTGTCCACAAACTGCCACAAGCTCCCAGACCTGTCCTTCCAGCTTATTGCCAACTTTGACAAGTGGAGCACGCCCAACCTCACCACCATCTCACACGTCTACCTGTACAATAATGAGGAGAATATCCTGATATCCGGCAGCACTATAAAGGTCAGGGAAACAGGAAACGTTATGCCATATTACTTTTCTCTTGTTCTTTTAATTAAACAGACCTGGGTTTTATAAGGGTTTGGTTATTATTTTCCGGTATACTTCACGGACCAAAATAATTTTTATATTTTAAAACTACTTGTGTTTTTGGGTTCAAGGCTCATAATTATTATGGAGACCACTGATAACTCAGGTTACGGGAGTTAGAATGCAGAAGATATTTGCAGATAATCACCTCAGACCCTTCTCATGACCTTTCCTCTCAGTATGACCTCCTCCTATTGGGTCGCCGCTACAGAGTACCAACTAAAAACAAGAAAAGATATCTAAACCGGTATAAGAACTCGTTCCTACCCCTGTCTGTGAACCTCCTGAATGCAGGCCATCGAGAAAAGCGGTGACGGTCTAAGTGTTTTATCCCTGTCTTATGTGTATTTGAAATGGAGCAGCCTGCGAATCAAAGGTACATTTCCTATGCAACATAATAAATTAATCTTGATTCCTGAACATGTATAGACTGCACAAATGGCAAATAAACTTAAAAGTGTCAGTAAGACAAAGCATGGAGCGGTGGCGTCTCATAAAAGGTCGCTTTTGAAGAACAAGGAAGTTATCCTGCCTCTGCTTTACACAAAAGATGAAGGTCGCATTGGACAAGTGGTTTGAATAAAGAATATTTGATTCAATACAATACAATTTATTCTTGTATTTCCCTAAATCACAGCAGCATCATCTCAGAGACTTAACAAAACCATTGAAATCACCACAGATCAGAGAATCAACAGTTAGACACATAAAGAATATAGAACACATGTTGATAAATGTCACACATGTGATAAATGTCACACATGTTGATAAATGTCATACATGTAGAATGTTAAAGTGTCCTGGATCACCACAGTCCTTCTAGTTGGACATAACTGTCCAACAGACTCCTGCATCAGAGGAAAAACTCATAAGAAAACCCAGTGGGAAAAAGTGAGAAACTTCGGTGAGACCCACTTATTGAGAGAGGGATCCGCTCCCACGGACGGGCTGTAGATCCAGGACCCGGTGCAGGACTGAGGAGCTTTTTCAGATTTCTAAATGTAATCTAGTACATCTATAATAATAATAGTAATACATCAGTTTTATGTAGCACTTTTTTGGACAGGCAAAGACACTTCACGTCATACACTGTGGTGAGAATCTACTACTGTAGCCACAAGATAAGATTAAAGTTCCTCTATTCGTCCCACAGTGGGGAAATGTCGATGTTGCAGCGCACAGACTGGACAGTAGTAAGAGCACACAGGGATCACACAATATATACAACATACAGTAATATAGTAGCTATGTTTGTTAACTAACATAACTGGCTGTAGATGCTGAAAATGCTTCAATACCAGTCAAAATATATATATTTATGTAGTAGTGCAAAGTTATGTACTGTACATATAGGGCAGGATAATAAATTGATAAGTAAAGTGGGTAAAGTGACATGAGGTAAAGTGACATTGTTCTGTGACATTCTGAAGTTGCAGTATTGCACATTGCACATGATTTAAGAATTTACTTAATTACAGATGAATGAAATTTACAGGCTCAGCAGTTCTTATTGTACAGTCTGACAGCAGCAGGAAGGAAAGACCTACGGAACCTCTCCCTCACACAGCGAGGGTGAATTAGTCTGTCACTGAAGCTGCTCTCCAGAGCAGAGAGAGTGTCCTGCAGGGGGCGACAGTCATGGTCCAGCATAGATGTTAGTTTGCTCAGGACCCTCCTGTCCCCCACCTGCTGCACTGTGTCCAGGGAACAGCCCAGGACTGAGCTGGACTTCCTGATGTTCCAGCTTCTTCCCTCTCTGTGATGCTGCTGTTCCAGCAGACCACACCGTACAAGAGGCTGATGCCACCACAGAGTCATAGAAGGTCTTCAGGAGTGGCCTCTGCACTCCAAAAGACCTGAGCCTCCTCAGTAGGTAGAGGCGACTCTGGCCCTTCTTGAAGAGGGCGTCTGTGTTATGAGTCCAGTCCAGTTTGTGGTTCAGATGAACACCCAGGTACTTGTAAGAGTTCACTCTCTAGGGAAGACTGTGCCATCAGCCCTTCTGACCACCATCTATCATTCATCATGCACACACACACCAAACTCATTCTAGGCAATGTGTGTGAAGGACACAATAATTTATCACTGCAGCTGCAGCCGTCCCACTGTGGCACCGAATGTTCCTAGAGCTCTCCCATCACAGTACTAACCAGGCATTGCCCTGCTTAGCTATAGAGGTCTGACAGGGTCTAGCTTTTACATGCCGGTGGTGCCATTAAAGTGCCACTTTACGGCCTACTTCCATATCCCATCCTGTGTGCCGCTGTTTGGTACGATGTAGTCTCACTGGTGTCAATCAATTGTGTGCCTGCACTTGCATATGAGCAGGAAAGAGCAAGGGGAATGGGAAAATTGGATCCGTTCAGGAAGAACTAGGCAAGGATTAGATGAGGAGTCAAAAACAATGTAATGTTGGTCATTATTGTAACGGGTTTGTGCCAGAAGTTCTTGATATAAGTGTTCGATGGAGCTAAAAATAACTCCAGGTCTCTCATGTTGCAATGTGGGACACCAAGCAAATCAACAAATACAAATATGTTTAAGGCTTCCTCATAGCTGTGTTCTGTCTCAGGTGAACGGGACCCCAGTGTCGGTGCCCTTCCTAACGGGCTTGATGACCCGCCTGACCACTTCAGAGGGCTTCATCGTCATCGACACTCCCCAGGACATCCAGGTGAGGTACAATCGCTTCAACACCCTAAGCATCACCATGGGCCCACGGCTGCAAAACAAGGTGTGCGGCCTCTGCGGGAACTTCAACGGCGATCCCAGCGATGACTTCATCACCTCCAGGGGAAAGCCGGCCACCAGTGCCCTAGAGCTGGCCCAGAGCTGGAAGACTAACGGCATGCAGAACAGGTGAGTGCATGCTCAGTGTTTGATTCAACAACACTGTTGTAATTCCTTATTCAATGAATAAATGTGACGCGATCTGGGAAAACCCATCACATGGTGAAACTTAAGATTCTGACACCATCTTAAAGCTGCTTTCAATCTCTTTTCAAATCTGTTTTCCTTTTTTTCATAGCATGTCTGTAACAAAAGTTATCATCATCTGAAGTCAGCTTTTTAACATGGTTTTATGAAACAGAATTCTGAGAAAAACAGGTTTAAAGTTAGACATTCTAAATAGAATCACCACAGTCACATATAACATGTTAAATATGAATTACTCTGTTATGGCACTTATTTTAGTCACTATGTTGTAAAAGATACAAATGTTACTTTGGCACTAGATTCAGATTCAGTTTATTTGCCATTTGCAGTAAAAACACCACATTGGAATACATTAGCAAAAGTCACCAGTGTGCACAGACAAATACAGACATAAAACAACATTAAAAGAAATAAAACAAATAAAACAGTAAACAAATGTCACTGTGAAATCGATCGACTAAAACAGTTTCAAAACAAGTGCAAATCATTAAAGTGCTCTGTTCACACTGATAACAGCCTGTGGATAAAAACTGTTAGAGTAACGAGATGTCCTGCATCTCAGAGAGCGATATCTTCTGCCAGAGGGAAGAAGCTGGAACATGGCTTTCCCAGGGTGGCCAGAAGAGTCATTAACAATCCTAAGAGCTTTGTTTAAAAGTGTGGATTTATAAAGAACCTCCAGAACAGGAAGCTCACAGCCCACGGTCCTCTTTGCAGAGCGGAGCACCTTGTTTAAAGCTCTCTTTTCTTTATCTGTGATGTTTCCAAACCACACAGACACAGAACCAACAAGTAAACTCTCAATGGTGCAGCCATAAAAGTTAAGCACAATCTTAGAGTTAGTGGTAAATTCTCTAAGTTTACGCAGAAAGTAGAGACGCTGACGAGCTTTCTTAACGACTCAGTGTTTTTAACCCATTTCAGGTTAGACAGAGTTAGACCCAGAAACTTGCTCCTCTACGATCTGCACCTGGGAGTTGTCGATTACGACAGACAAATGAGAACTATTGCGACTGAAGTCGTGACCAGTTCACATGTTTTGGATGCGTTCAACTGGAGGTTGTTAGTTTGACTCCACTGAACCACATTTTGTATCTCTGCTCTATAAGAGGATTCATCAGTGTCACTGATGAGACCGATGATGGTGGTGTCATCAGCATATTTGATGATCAAGTTTGAGTCAGAGGAGGACACACAATCGTGAGTGTACAAAGTAAAAAGCAAAGGACTCAAAATACATCCCTGAGGAGAACCAGTGCTCACAGAAACAACATCAGAAAAACACTCATTGATTTTCACTCTCTGAGATCTGTCTGTTAAAAAGATAAAAATCCATTTACACATGGCAACACTTAAACCCAGAGACATGAGCTTTTCAATCAGTTTACCTGGGACAAGGCAGTTAAAAGCAGAGCTATAATCGATGAAAAGCATTCTGGACACAGATTTACTAGTGTCCAAGTGACTGTAGACAGAGTTCAGAGCAAAGGAGATGGCATCCTCCACACTCCTGTTCTGTCTGTAGCAAACTGGAGCGGGTCAACACTCACAGGGTTCTGGCTCTTAATGAAGTCCAGCACATGTCAATCATTCAGCAATAGCACATTGCGCTAGCCGCCAGGCTAACAACAAACCCAAACGGACCCATGCGCAGCATGCTCAAATGCATGCTGCTTGTCTTTTTCACGTTGGTGAAATGTTTTTCAAGTTGGTGAAATGTAAAAGAGCAGTCTGAACCTCTTTCGGAGCGTTTTTTTGTTGTTGCAAAAGATAAATGCACATTTTTGGATTATTTCTGCAGAATGGATTATACTTTGGAAAATACAAGTGGATATTATTTTTCCATAATTATTAACGGAGAGAAAGAGACTAAGCAAGGATGGGGAAAGTCTAATTTGTTCAAGCAGGGGAAGACGAAAGGTAAAAAACTTTTACAGACTTGATTTATTTTGTGCCCATATTATGTGTTATATCTTTTTAATGCAAAGTCTGATATCGTTTACACTTACAGTACATATGAATATAAATGAGAAAATAAGCTTTAAAATGATATATAGCTTGTGGCTTATGAAGTTCAAAATACATCTGTTATTGCCAGCAGATGTATTTTTTTTCTCGTTTGCCCCCTTGGGCACCAGTCACAGGAAAACTTTGTGTGCCCAGCAAGAAGAAAACTCATTTTGATTGACACATGACGACCTGTCAATACACGCCACATCAGATACCACATCACATAGGAGTTTTTGTTTTGTCCTGCGCAGTTATCTGCATGAATGTGCATGTGCATTTCACCCATTCCATAATTTTCTAGATATGAGTGTAAAAGACTAATAACACAGTTGCTACCTTTACCAGTCTGTATGGATTCATCCAACAAGAAAGTAACCTGCTTTGGCAAGGCCTCACATGCTACACCAAAAGCTCCACACTTAAGTGGTGTTTTGAAATACATAGGCCCCGGTTGCAGGGGATCATTGGGGTAATGAATCTGTTGTGCATAGTCCATGCTATAATGTACCATTCCCTCATAACGACAAGGAATGTGTGGACCTAACTCTAACCCAGCGGGCAAGTTTGCTTTTGAATCCTTACAAAGATGCTGATAGTGTGTACGTTCTACTCTTGCTTTCTCTAGATGTTCAGTGGCCAGACGATGCAGCTCTGCCTTCAGAATCATCCTTATTGGCGGCCTCACTAAGTTGTTTTTAATATTTTTGACATGTCCAACGCAGGTCAGTTGCTGGCCGCATTGTGACAACAAATGGCACCACTTCCCGCCAGATACGACGAAATGTAACAACAGAAACCACACGCTCATTCGCTACAGCAACTGCCACACAGTAATCAGAGTACACCTTCACCTTCGTACAGTTAGTTAGAAGAAGTTTAAAATCACTCCTCCAAAAGCCTGGTACCCTCCCTGGAAGATGCATGCGAGGGGTTTCAGCGAAGTTTAAAATGAAATGTGCGACTTAGATATTGTCCTCTTTCTTCAGTGCATTAGGAGGTTGACACTTTTTGTTGCCATGAATTGGAGGGGAACACCATTATCCTTATAATGCTTAATAAGAGCATCTAGCTTGACCTGCCCAATGCCATGGAGACTATTGAACATATCCCTGCATATTTTCTCCCCATGGTGAAAGAAGTCAGTTCTTTGGGACTTCCGAACGGTCTGTTCTTTTTTATGGGTGTGGGATGTTAGCTGAGAAAGATGCATTCCACATTGTTCACTATTGTTTAACATAGAAAAATGTTTCGCGCGTCTAGACAACGCGTACGTGCTGTAATGCCTCCTGTGCAAATTAGCAGTAACATTAAGATTAGCACGGCTAGCTTACCTTCATCAAACTCCTCTTCTTCTGAGAATTTATTATAATCCGATCCTTCTTCATATCTTGGATCTCTGGATGTGAAATAATCCATGATCACGTCGTTCAGGGCAAAGGCATCGCCAGGATTTAGCAGATTGAGACGTGCAGCTTAATTTAAATGAGCAGCTTCTTCAGACTCCCTTCTCTGGAGCTCCACCATCTCTCTCAAGACTGACACGCTCACGTAATGTTGACGTTCGGTTTATCAAAACATATCACAATTTTTAATGTATAAAACTAGTGAATTTCACCTAGATATTTTCAGAAATGAAAGACAAGATGTTATATAATAATTATTTAATTATTATTATTATTAAGATCGCATCACAAATACAAAATACAAGATCCTCCAGAACGGGAGCATCTCACTGTTCACAGTCCTCCGAGCAGAGCAAACCACTTTGTTCAGAGCTCTCTTTTCTTTGGCTGTGATGCTGCCGAACCACACGGTAATCGCACCAGCATCAGGCTTTCTCTGGTGCAGCGATAAAAATTCAGCAAAATTTTAGAGTTACTTGTAAATTCCCTAAGTTTCCACAGAAAGTATAGAGGCTGGTGTCTTTCTGAACAGTAAGGTCGGTGTTTTTGTCTCATCTCAAATCGTTGGACAAAGTTAGACCAAGGAATTTACACCTCAACAATCTCCACCTGAGAGTTTTCAATGACCACAGGAGAGAGAGAGAGACCACGACTGAAGTCCAACACCAGTTCACATGTTTTGGACGTGTTCAAGAGGAGGTTGTTGTCTTTTCTCCACTTTGACAACATATTCAACCTCTGCTCTGTACGAAGATATGTCGTTCTTGCTGATGAGACCGATAATGGTGGTGTCGTCTGCATATTTGATGATCAGATTTGAGTCAGAAGAAGCAACACAGTCATGGGTGTACAATGTGAAGAGCAGAGGACTCAGAATACACCCCAGAGGAAATCCAGTGTTCACAAACGCTTCCTCTGAGAGACGGCGACCGATTCTAACTCTCTGAGATCTGCTGATGAGAAAGCTGTAAATCCATTTACACATGGCTTCGCACAGCCCGAGGGATCTGAGTTTTTCAACCAGTTTACCTAGGACGAGACAGTTAAAAGCAGAGCTGTAATCAACGAACAGCATTCTTGCCAGAGATTTGTTATTGTCCAAAAGACTGTACACAGAGTTCAGTGCAAAAGAGACCGCATCTCCTGTTTTCTTTGTATGCAAACTGGAGCGGGTCGGTACTGGAGGGGATCTGGCTCTTAACGAAGTCCAATATAAGCTGCTCAAAGGTCTTAATTAGAACAGACGTACAATACAATGAAATACAATGTATTCTTGTATAGCCCTAGGTCACAACAGAAGTAATCTCAGAGACTTAACAAAACCATTGAAATCACCAACACAGGTCAGAGAATCAACAGTTAAAACACATGAAGAATATAAAGCACACACAGAAGAAAATGTCCATACATGTTGTAGAATGCTAAAGTGTCCTGATCATCACCAATCCTTTCTGTTGGACACTAACTGTCCAACAAGACCCTCCTGCATCCACAAGGAACAACTCTTAA